TCAAAAAAGAAAAAAAAATTCTCAGTCTTGTTTTTTCTCTTTTTAATATTTTAAAACAAATTCGTTTGTCAAACAACTAATACTTGGGAACGGAAGGAGTATTTTGTGTATCATTATGCCCGCAATCTTATAATACCGGTGTCATGTTTATAAAGCGTACGAAGTTTGTCTTTAACTTCATTAAGCAAAATGTTGCTGTAAGGCAACCCCAACTTGTTCTTTCATTTGAGCTGATGCTATCATCATTTAATTAACACGACCACTAACTTGTGTTAATTAACTAATCCAATTGGGATGGGCAAGCTTTGTTTTGTTTCAATTTTCATACAGTTACATAACTATTTTTAGAATATTTCGGTTCGATCAATCGTCTCGAAAGCAAACCCTAAGACAAAACTGTTAGAAATCTATCCTGATTTTCTTACCTTATTTTGATTTATTCTTTTTTTTTAAGGAAGGGAAAAGAGTTTACCATAATTGATTTTCACTTTTCCTTAAAGGAAAATATAGATCTTTTTCATATTTAACAGATCACTTGTAGGAAAATGTTGTGGCCCCTATAAATTGAGAAACTCTCCCTCATGCACAAGAACACAACAACCTCCACAATGTGGCTTGTACGAGAGTTTTGTTTTGGGGTTTTCTCTCAAGTTTTTATACTTTCTTTCTCCTACATATGACCAAACCTGCCTTGTCGTTTTTGATCCCAACAAAAACATAATGCAGACTTTAACCAAGTCTCTTTACTTTGATACCCAACAAACTACGCATGTACCTTGGTGAAGATGGTTTAGATCATTGCCTCAATCACATCCCACCTACTCAATACAAAGTACGAGAGATTATGAGCTTAGGGTTTAGTTAGAAGAAAATTAAGTAAAGGACCGTGAGGTCACAGGTTGAAGTATTTCACCATCACGATTACCTAACTCGATGGATATTGATTGGATTCTTTCTTGGTTATTACAGAATATCATGATAGTATGCCATTTAAGTTGGCACGGTATGATTGGTCACAGAGTAGCAATGATGTGAGAAGATTTAAAAATTAGATAAAATCATTAAAGTAAAATTTTCTTGGCTCACTTCCTTTTTCCCCCGTTAAACTGATGAAACCTTAATTAACTTCAAAGATGAATGCCAAAGTGAATTGAGGTCAAGCACATAAATTTATTAAGGTCAAGCGATAGATTGAGGTGAAATTATATTAAATTAGTTATGGTTAAGTGATAAAAGTGAATGTAAATCACACTCATCATATATTCATGGTTACAGGAAAAAAAATATTGATTAATTTGATGTAAATATCTAAAATAGTTCAGGATAATATAATCTTTTAAAAAACCTTCCAAAACCAATGTGTGTGAATTATACTGTATATATGTGACAGCCGTTCCCTAATAATAATGGTATAGCAGAGAAAAGCTTAATTGTCATTAATGCTTCTTTCTTTGTTTTCCACTTTTCCTTCCTCTAATCTTTCTCTTGTGGACCACTTCCACAAAAATCTGTACGTAGCTGCGTTCCATCGCCATTTCCAACCGAGTGCGGAACCAAAGTATGGTTTATTTTTAGTAAAAATACTCAAATAAGTGTAAAAAAAAAAAGTTACCAAAGTATATATAACGCCACTAATAGTGACGCTATACTGACAAACTTACATAGCGCCATTAATAGTGGCGCTATATGTCTTATATTTGAAGACATAGCGCCATTAATAGTGGCGCTATACCCCTTAATACAAATCCCCCATCTTCTTCT